GGCCGAAATGGAAACCGAAAATTCTGGAGGCACTTGGCCGAAAACCGAAACTGCTTTGTAATGATTATTTATAATTTTATTAAATAATATAAAGTAATTTTGTAAGACTTTTTAAATTTAACTCAATTTTAATGATACTGAATTAAAAAAAACACAAGCCAATAAAATAACTACACTTTTACTGAAAGTAACACAATAAAACTGGACAGAATTTATATCAATATTGGTAACACAAACACATTTACAATACGGTTCATTAGTTAACATTAGTTAACTACTTTAGATAATGAACTAAGAATGAACAATAGTTCTTCAGCATTTATTAATCTTACTTCATGTTAATTTCAACATTTACTAATGCATTATTAAAATCAACAGTTGTGCATGTTAACAGTTAATGCACTCTGAATTGACATGAACTAACAGTGAATAACTGTATTCTCATTAACTAACATTAAGAAAGATTAATAAATACTGTAATAAATGTATTGTTTATTGTTCGTTCATGATAGTTAATACATTAACTAACATTAACTAATGGAACCTTATTGAAAAGTATTACCTTAATATTAAATATCAAAATATTATTTTTATTCACTTCTATGTAACAGAATCAGATATAAAAATTTTTTTTGACAAATTATCCAAATAATGTATAGACCTACAAAGCTATTGTTTTCAGAGCATATGAGCAGAGCATAGCGCACTGAAGCAAGGTAGCATCATTTTAGCAGCGTTGCCCAGTACAGCTGAAATAGCCTACACCATGTTACAGCACAGTAGCGCTACTGCAAACTGGAACAAGCAGGCCTATACTGCATAGACATTTCCTGTCAGCACGTTATTTGAGCAGACTTTGCTTTTCCGGTGAGCATGAGCAGTACACGAGCGGAACGCATATTCATAGATCAGAATACTGAGCGAAGTGTCAAACCGTGCAGTGACAAGGAGAGTGAAACATGCGCACTGAACACTGGCGGGGCACGACGAGGCGTGCCATATATATTATTATTATTATTATTATTATATGTAGCCTATATTTTCGGTGCATCCCTACTTGCATCCCCTCCTTGTTTACAAATCCGAAGTAAGTCCATGCATCCGATTTAAACGCGGACCGCGATGCCACCCTCTTTATTTTACTAACTTACTGCATGCTGAAGGTGACCCAGCTGACCTCACCAGAAAAAACGCAACACCACAACCTAGTGGATTGTAAAGAAATTTATTTTATTATTCTACCAAATAGTATAATAAAAGATCGATACTTGGCGTCCGTGTATCGATACAGGACTGCCGTGGAAAATATCGCGATACTATGCTGTATCGACCCCCCCCACCCCCACCCCTATTATATATTCATACTTATAAATGCAATTATATCACGTACTGTATCACTTCCAAGCAAATAAATGTGTAATAATATAATTGATACCTCCGATATAATTGTGAAAACACATCAGAGTGATTTATTAGAGTACTGTAGAAGAAAATGTGTAGGATTCTTGAAAATCAAAAGTCATAAGGCTTTAAAACAACATTAGTTCATTTCAATTTTCATCTGTATTTGTAATGCTTTCAGCATTATTATTATTATTATTATTATTATTATATGTAGCCTATATTTTCGGTGCATCCCTACTTGCATCCCCTCCTTGTTTACAAATCCGATGCATCCGATTTAAACGCGGACCTCGATGCCACCCTCTTTATTTTACTAACTTACTGCATGCTGAAGGTGACCCAGCTGACCTCACCAGAAAAAACGCAACACCACCACCTAGTGGATTGTAAAGAAATTTATTTTATTATTCTACCAAAAAGTATAATAAAAGATCGATACTTGGCGTCCATGTATCGATACAGTATTGCCGCGGAAAATATATCGCGATACTATGCTGTATCGATTTTTTTCCCCCACCCCTAAAAACTACAGACACTAGTTCTTTGTTTTACAGAGACCGCCTTTTATCAGTGAACCACTGAAATTTCGAAACATGACATGATAACAAAGCCTTCTTTACTGAAATCACGTGACTTTGGCATTTTGATACGCACTCTTGGTTCAAAACTAATTATTTACAAAGGTTTCAAAGCTTCACAAAAGAGTGTTTTGAAAGTGCCCGTCACTAGTGAGGAGGTAGCATTTGTTTTCAAAATCATATATACTAAATATAGGCCTATACTATATACTCATGTACTAAAATGGCATCTGCAAGAAAAAAATTATTACACAAGTATTTCCTGGCTTTATGGCTGCTGTAAATGTTACGAATTAGCCGATGAGGCGTGCCATATATATTATTATTATTATTATTATTATTATATGTAGCCTATATTTTCGGTGCATCCCTACTTGCATCCCCTCCTTGTTTACAAATCCGATGCATCCGATTTAAACGCGGACCTCGATGCCACCCTCTTTATTTTACTAACTTACTGCATGCTGAAGGTGACCCAGCTGACCTCACCAGAAAAAACGCAACACCACCACCTAGTGGATTGTAAAGAAATTTATTTTATTATTCTACCAAATAGTATAATAAAAGATCGATACTTGGCGTCCGTGTATCGATACAGGACTGCCGTGGAAAATATCGCGATACTATGCTGTATCGACCCCCCCCCCCCCCACCCCTATTATATATTCATACTTATAAATGCAATTATATCACGTACTGTATCACTTCCAAGCAAATAAATGTGTAATAATATAATTGATACCTCCGATATAATTGTGAAAACACATCAGAGTGATTTATTAGAGTACTGTAGAAGAAAATGTGTAGGATTCTTGAAAATCAAAAGTCATAAGGCTTTAAAACAACATTAGTTCATTTCAATTTTCATCTGTATTTGTAATGCTTTCAGCATTTTTTCTGAAAGGTAAAAGAAAGTATGTTGCAATACCACTGGGATATAAATTTTGTAATATAGTACGTAAGTTTTATATTAGATAAAATGTTGTCCCATGTGCCAAATGGAAACTGTATTAATATCAAATGAAAATGAACCACAAATTTAAATTCTGAAAAGCCCAAACACACAGACAAGATGTTGCCTCCACATTTCTGAATTTCACTAATTCCGCATGAAACACATCCACAACCCCCCCTCAATCGCTCGTGCTGTGACTGTCTTCATATCTTTCCATACATTTCCAGTGCTATAACTCATTAATCATTTACAAAACATGAAACAGTAATCAAAATAAACCATAATACTGCATAAGCAATTCATTTAAAGTCTCCTCTTTGCCCATCTCTCCATAGCAACGGCTCATCACAGTGCAATTTTTTGCAGTGTAATTTCAAATGCGGCCGCTATTAAGCATCGCACTCCCTCTCTCTCGCTCACTCTTGCTATCTTTCCCTAATGTAAACAAACACAGGCAGACTGGTATTAAGCCGCGCAGCTGAAAGCCCCGCCCCTCTCGTAGCTACACGGCCCACTGGGTATTTCAGCAACTCATTGGAATCTTCAAACAACAAAGATAAACAAGTGTTCCAATTAAGAATTAATTACTGCTCAGACACTCAACTGCTTCTGCTCACTCCGTTGGGAACAACTCAAACGGCGAGGAAACACACACACACTTACACATAGCAAGAAAGATAAGATAGAGGGGTCGCATACAGAACACATATAGAAAAATACGTGATTAACTTTAAAAGGTTTGGACTGGATGTCACAGTCTAGCAGGGAGTGAAAAATAAAGAGAAGGAAAGAACGATTATATAAAACAATAACACTTAGTAATAAATATCTATTTATTACTGTAGATGCACACACGTGTGTGTGTGTGTGTGCGTGTGTGTGTGTAATTTTCTGAAAATGTATCTTTACGTGTATCTTTTTCTTTCATATTATATGCAGGTAAAAAAAAGTTTTTGAATGAAAGTTTTTGAATGAAGTATTTCATGCTCTTATGCTCATCAATGCTGCATTTATTCGATAAAAAAAAAAAAAAAAAGAAAAAACACTAATATTTAAAATATTGCTTCACATGACATAATTATCGATGATAAAAACAGTGGAAATGTTGATTCATTGATTAATAGAAATTTTAAAAGACCAGCATTTATTTGGAATAGAATTAAAGGTTTGTAACAATATAAAAATCTTAACTGTCACTTTTTATCTATTTAATGCATGCTTGTTGAATAAAGGTATTAATTTCTTTCCAAACATAGTGCGTGTAAAGAAAGAATGTAAATATTCTCTATCCTCCCGCTTCAGTCTCTATGACTTTCCCACCACAGTGGAAACAGCCATTCAACACTGTGAGAGGCTCCATGGCGAGAGCTAGCTGATGGGTGTGCGCTGGAATCATGTACCCCAGCAGGAGAGCTTGGATTGGGGCTGTGAGAGTCACCTCTCCCCCCTGCTGGAGGCACATGACTCATGGAGCTCCAAACAGCGGGGGAGGAACACATGACCTGACCTATCAGAAGGTCAAAATATGAGGGTTATTTTAAAATGAATAAATAAATAAAACCCAAAGGTGTCTGGATTGTGGCCTAGTACTTAGTAAGTGTTGATGCGGGAGACCCACATCATGTCCTGATTTTCTTCTGCTCACATTCCACATTACTTGCTCTTTCATCTTTACTATTGACTGCTCATGCTGTGTTTTAGAAAGCACAGAGATAGCTGCTGCTGTCTATTTGCTATAAGCATTCTTTGTGTCCTATGGTTCTGACATGACAAAGTATTGTTGTTCATATCACACGGAACCACAGGGGGCTGCTTGTCAGGAAGACTGAAAGATTTAAAGACTTAAATCCCTATAGAGTTTAATCCCTTCCTGCCTTAGACACAGTTCAGGTAGATGATCTTCATACTATTTCATCAAATGCAGACCTGCCCGCCCCTAAATGGCTTATAAAACCATGATATACTGTGGTTGGTTGCTTTATATGTCAGTCAGACAGGACCAGTATTGACGTGCAGCTCTAGAAAACATTAAGGTTGAGGCTGTGTGAATGGTGTGCTCTCACCTCAGCAATGGGTACGATACCCTGTAGGTCTCTCTGGCTAATATAGATGGTGGAGATGACTTCAGCAGATGCTCCGGTAGAGGGATACTCTATCTGCCAGCGGATGGACTGCGATGACCGCAGGTTGATGAAATTGTCAATCTCAAAGTCCACCCACATGATCTCATAGAAGGAACCATCAAGTCTGTTGAGAAAAAGAGAAAGACAGATGTCAGATGAGGGGGAGAGAGAGACACTCTTAGATCAAGGAAGATCAAGGGCTTTAGTGCAACTGCTGCCGAGAGCCAGACTTTATACTGTGTTTTGATGTCTATTCACACATCCTCCAGGACAGCAGGGGGAAGTATTGCCTTTGGCCTCCTACAAAAGTTGAGAACACATAAGTTAATATAAAAAATTCAGTGATTATGTGGTGATTTTAAAAAGCCCTTAGAACAGAAAGAAGAAAGAAGCCTTTCAAGATATGCTCTTTTTCACAGGTGAGTGGTAATAAGTAAAAAATAATATGTAAAATAAAATAATATTTAAAAATATGAAAATGTAAATTTTTTATTAAAATGTGTGTGTATGTGTGACAATGAATAATTTAGGGTTTGCTTAATTAAAATGAAAAAAAAAAACTAAAAAAAAAAAAACTAAACCGTCGTAAAATGTCATGAAAAAGTAAAAATTACATGCAATATTTAATTGAGTAACACAAAATGCTCAACATTTAAAACATTTAACACACAAAATTGCAATCAGATTCCTGAATAACTTTTAACAAATCAATTTAGGTGATGAATAATTGGAATCCTCATCATGTATAGATTCAAATTACTGTGATTACTGTGTGAGTTTCACTGGAACGGCTTGTGTTTAATGTACATAAAATATCTCAAAAGATATTAACAATTTGAAGGGTTTCCTCTCTGTAATCACATCCAGAGAATAAACTCAAGGGACTGATCTGCAGATGAAAATTAGAGCAACAAAAACCCATTGAAGAAGGTTTACTGTGGGAAACAATAGTAACAGCCAGAAGACACTGCATCTTAATACAATTAATGAATTTCTTGGGGTCTGTGCATTAGTGCGAGTGTCAGAAATGGACTACAAGGGATAAAAAGCACTAAAGCACTGTAGAATCATGTAACCAAGCAGTTTCTGTCTCAAATGGCAAGCACAGACTGTTACGGGCATGTATTCACAAAACCTGAGATCCATAACACATGGAACTGGTGATTTCAGCCAAGCTCTTGGTATTTTTTTGTGAAATTTGCATCAGACTGTCATTCTACGAGTTAGCATGCACAGGTTTTTACCAGAATGCCAGGAAACAAAGTCATGTTTACAAGATATTGATCCAAGATATTCACAAGTTTTATGTATGGCACTTAGCAGCAAGTAAACAAGATATTCCCAACCATGGCTTTATTTTATGCCTGTGGAATATTCTGTATTTATTACTTTTGATCAAAGACTACACATCTCTAAACAATACATAAAGCAAAGTAATCTGTGTTTAGTCATGTTACATGATGATCAGACAGGCTCTTCCCATCTAAGTGTTCAGGTCTTTTGCTGAGTACACTACAAAGTGGAGCTAACTTTATGCAGCGAGTTAAAAGTCTTGCTCTGTGATGCACTCATACACACACACTAAGCTTCAAGACTGATATGAAACAGCAAAGTCCATTTCCCTGAATAACAGGAAACCCTACCTGATTCCTTCCTCGTCTCTTTCTTCTGAATGAATGTGCACAGTTAGATCCCAACCTCTCTAAATGCTCCGAGTTGACCTTTGACCTCAGATCAACAGGGGCCAAATAACCGCCTTCCCCCTCCATCCTTGTTATGACACCCCTGAAATGAGTTCAATTACACTCGCCCAATCGGCCGCTTGATGGATGTGCTGCTGTCTGACCCCTTCCTCCTTCAAAAAGAATGTTCTAGAAGCAGTAAATGAATCAATAAACCAACAGACAATACTTTATTGCAGAGATGGCATATGTCTACGGGGAGCGGGGAGAGAGGGAGGGGGCGGCCAGTCAGAAAACGAGAGATAAATAATGTTATGGAGAACGAGAGCAAGGAAAAACGAATCAGTCACAGTCCCTCTCTGTCTCTTCTGGAAGTGCAATGTCATTTCTCTGAATAGCACAAGCGTTTTTGTCATTATTCACTCAGAGTCAGAGTCAGACAGGGATCTTGCCCAAACACTCAGCTGCGCCCAACAATGAGCCGCAGACAAGCAAACCGCATACACACGCGGCCTCGCACAATTATACGCAAACACAAATGCGTTGAACAGGACTTTCAGAAGCGTTAAGAGGATTAGTTATGTAGAAGCAGATGAGAAGTAGAGAGGACAGCAAAGTTATTCTGCATTCAAGGAAAGTTGTTAAGCATTATAAACGGCTGGATAATAAGCAGGGCAAAAGAGCGTATGGCAAAGGAGCGAAGCGTTATGGGAATTCTTAATTTCTTTTAAAGACATAGTTCACTCAAAAATGAAAAGTCTGACTCAACGTCATGCTTGAACCTGTATGAACCTTTTTTTCGTCCATGAAACACGAAAACACTAAAGGATGTATTGAATGTTTTGTAGCTCTCAAATCTCATTTGTGCTTCTTCATATTTAAGCAGTTGAATGTTTTGTAGCTCTCAAATCTCATTTGAGCTTCTTCATATTAAAACCAGAAGTCATAATCAGCTACAAGGCATGCAGGTACCAACATTTCTTATTTTCATTTAGTTTAACTTGATGTACTAAAATGGAACTAAAAACTATAAAATAAATATAATATTTATATAAAATTATAAAAACGATAAATATAAAAATATATAAACCAAACATGTATAAAAATGACAAAAACACACCAGAATTACTCAAAATAAAATTAACGAAGTAGAAATTATAATAATAAAAAAATTTATTAAAATATGAACAAAACCTATAATAGTATCTCAGTGATGCTAAAATAACACTGCTTAGAAATTGCTAGTAAATTCCACAATTAATTACAAAGAAATAACAAGTAAAACATTGAATTAAATGTGAAATTTTGAAGTAGAAAGACAAAAATGATTGTAAAATGTACTCCAGTCTGCAGTGCCAGACATGTCCCCCTGCTTAAGCCAGTACATGTCCAGGCCCGTCTGAAGTTTGCTAGAGAGCATTTGGATGATCCAGAAGAGGATTGGGAGAATGTCATATGGTCAGATGAAACCAAAATAGAACTTTCGGTCCCAGCCGAATTGCCCAGCCTAACTCCAGCTTTGAAAAATTATTTTTACAGTGATACCTCAAAGAGAACGGATGTCAAATTCTTTAAAGAATAACACCTTAAATTCGGTATTCTTCTCACAAAAAGCAACCATTTTGCCTCAGATGACATGATGGATTTAGTGCATTACTTTTATAATACTTTAAAAGAAAGTCATACAGTGACAAGATGGTAATGATGTAAATGATGACAGAACTTAAATTTTTCATGAAATGTTACTTTAAGAGAAGAGTGTAGTTAAATATATTACTATAAACAACTGTCCAAAGAGCAAAGAGTGAATACAGCTCTTCCGAAACCAGTGACCTATAACATAACCCTTGTAAATGTAATTAGCCATGCATATTTGAGTTTTTAAGCACATGTGATCACATGTATATTCTTACCCCCTCAGAAACCCTAATGCAATTGAGCAATTATCTTTACTTAAAGTAACTTTGGAGGCATACGGGGAGAAAGCACAGGCACCAGGGCATCGGAGTCAAAACCTTCAGTCAGGATTTTTCAGTCTCTCTCTCTCAGCCATAATTAATTTAAGCAGAGGGAAGAAGAGAGAAAAGAGGAGTCTCATTGTCCCCAGCTGTATTAATTAGCCATCATCGATCAGTTCAGGGTTTATGGCCACCACAGATGCTGAAAAGGCAGGAGTGTTTATCTTATCATAGGTCAGAAACCGAGAGCAGCTGAGAGGCAGACTCACACCCCATACATCACTCGCCTGTTGTTTAACCTTTGTTGAGAAAGTCGTGTTTTTAAGAGTGCTGGACAGAAGCAGAGGGAACGGAGAAGTGCTGTCAGCCAGACTTAAAGAGCCGTTTGTCACACGTGATGGGTTCACTCAGGTAAACGTGTACTTCAGAACATCGCTTGAGAGAGTTCCTCTGCAGATGTCCGGGAAGAGCAAGCCAAGGGCTTTCAGTTGTCACGTCGCCTCTAATTAATCTGTCACTGGATTTAAGTATTTTCCAGCATTAGGACAATTGTAAAACAGGGTGCATATTTACATGACATTTTTCTTGAAGAAATTAAAGTTGTAATGGAAGCAGTGACAGATCTTTTCTTCCGTGAAAACATATTGTGAAACATATTATCGAAAAAATAGAAAAAATGTAGGATGGGGACTTGGTTCTATCCACTGGTTATTGATTAGATGGAGGCAGATTTAAATGTGAACTTGCAGTCGATTGTAAAAAAAATTAATAAAAGGGGGCAGGTTTTAAAGGATTAGTTTACTTCAAGTATAAAAATGTCCTGATAATTTACTCACCCCCATGTCATCAAGATGTTCATGTCTTTCTTGAGTCGCAAAGAAATTAAGGATTTTGAGAAACTTTCCAGGATTTTACTCCATATAGTGGACTTCAATGGTGGCCAATGGGCTGAAGGTCCAAACTGCAGTTTCAATGCAGCTTCAAAGGGCTCTACACGATCCCAGCCAAGGAATAAGGGTCTTATCTAGCGAAACGATCTGTCATTTTCTTTAAAAAATACCACAATTGCTTGATATCCTATACACATAAGTTGCATCTGAAATCACATACTGTCTGTCTAGTAGGTACTACATTTGGTTTGAAACTTTGCAACTGTTAAAAACAATATGTTCTATCAGTATGAATATAGGTAGTATGGATGAAATTCCAAAGTACTACAGTTGCCATGTTGTCACTGTCATGTGTCCTACTGTATAGAGTAAGAGTAGGCATATTTGGACACAGCGATAGCAGAGTTTCTGCAGGTTTTATTAATGTAAATTTAAGAATTTTTAAGGCTAAGTAAATTTTAAAAAACGTATAGAAATAAATAAGGAATAAATTGAACAGAACATAATACATTAATATATAGATGTGCTTTATTAACAATGCTCCAAAGTTTGAAAATACAACTATACAACCATTTTTTTTATTTGTTTTACAAAAACAAAAACAAAAAAGCTTACTTTAATTCTAAGTAAAAACAAGTTTTCATTTGTTTGTTCTTCATATTTGTTCATTCATATTTGTATTTGAAGTTTTTTGTTTTTGTTTTTTTGCAGTGCATGCTATATTTAATGCCATGAATATATTAATCTAATTTCAGCTCTGATTTAAGACT